TGGAATTTAATCCAAATAAGTGCAAAGCATTAAAAATGGGTAAGAACTATGAGTTATGATGAAAGCCTACATGAACTGAGCCTCACATCGTTGGAACACAGAAGAGTTAATGACCAAACCACATCAGAAAATGGAGAAACGACGTGGTTTGGTCATCATATATCCAGCCACATTATTGTGACTCATCGTCTACACAAGAGTTTAGGGAGACATGATGGGAATTGATAACGTTGATAAAGACAGACTATTTATCACGAATTGTACTCGCACAAGGGAACACAAGTTGACCAAAGAGCCAGAGCTCAACCCCCTCAAGCACAACTAGGTGAGTACAGGTGGCATTTTAGTACCCAAATGAGCCACAGAGACACTAGAAAGAATTTTTCAGTGTCAGAGTAGTTAACAAATGGAATGCATTGTGCAGTGATGTGGTAGAGACAGACTCCACACACAATTTCAAATGTAGATATAATAGGAACAAACAGGCTCAAGGAACCTGTACACGTAGTGACCGACAGTTGAGAGGCGGGACCAAAGAACCGAAGCTTAACCCGCCACAAGTACAATTAGGTGAGTAGCGGTGCAGCTAGAGAACCACCAGACCACAGTGGCCAGAACTCAACCCTCCCAACGAGACAGTGTCGAAGCCACTGTCATACACTCCCCATCAAATGTCTAATAAAGTTTATCGACGGTGATCACAGAGAGGGAGTAACATGAGGGAGGGGGAACTGAGGGGAGGATCGAGGAGGAGAGGAAGAGGAGATTATGAGGAGGAGAAGGAGAGGAAGAGGAGATTATGAGGAGGAGAAGGAGAGGAAGAGGAGATTATGAGGAGGAGGGGAAGTTAGGTAAGGAACTAATAGAAGATAGGTCCCATTTACCATGGCATCTTTGGTATGAAATTGTTCCCATTTACAATGGCCAACTTTGGTATGGAATAGGTCTCAGTTACAGTGGCAACTTTTGTATGGAATAGGTCGCAGTTACAGTGGCAACTTTGGTATGGAATAGGTCGCAGTTACAGTGGCAACTTTGGTATGGAATAGGTCGCAGTTACAGTGGCAACTTTGGTATGGAATAGGTCCCAATTACAAAGCGGATGAGACTAAGGAGAGTAGAGGCGGATGAATACGGAAATAGGATGAATTTAAGGCATGCACAATAAATCAAATAATTCATGAGACAACATAAGTCGGAAGAATATTCCGAACTTATCACGAATTAGCGTACATACCGAATCACATAATACAGAGAGGAGAGCTTACAGAGGGGGGGACTTACATGGCACAGGAGCGGGGCTGTAACTGTCCTTCCTAAACTCGTGCCCAATTGGGGAAAAAAAAGTCTTCCAGTGGTCTCCGGCAGAGCATGAGCCAAACGCCCACCACACCAGGAGCTCACCAAGACCCACCAATTTCTTTCACTTCTCGGTCAAGTCGGCGTCAAACACCATCATTCCACCCGAAAATCCAACCAGAAAACGAAAAAATCTATTATTTCCCCCTGTGACGCCAGGTGGCGATACGTACGTCTCTCGTCTTATCAATGCGGGTCGTTGAAGAAGACTAAGTAATGGCAATATCGAGACCCATGATGATCCCAGTACCATCACGAGTTCCGGGCGTTCCCAGGCATTGCAAGGCGACAAGGTTATACCAGTTCATTCCTTATCTTTTCTGCGTTATGCTGTCCATGAAAGCTGTATGTCACTTGCTAATTTTTTTAGGAATTTATATGCTAACTTCTTGTTTAGTGTCGTGTCTGCCTCATTAAATTTACAAATAAGCTGTCTTATTTTAAGTTATGCTCGAAACGCTTTGCGTATTAGTGACCTTATTAAATATGCATAATCATTAACAATTATTATACCACTATTTCATGTTCTTTTGTATATTTTTAAATTTGTCCTATATTTAAAATTTGTCATATTTTCCCTATTTTACCCATTTCCCGAAACTGTTGTTGTTGTTTAAGATTCGCTACTTGAAACAAAAAGTTCCAAGTAGCACGGGCTATGGTGAGCCCGTTGTGGACTTACCTGGCACAGGAGCGGGGCTGTAACTGTGCCCGAAACGCTGTGCGTATTAGTGCTTTAGGCACTGCATGTACTAGCTCTATCTAGAAATCCAACATTATGTTTGTAACTCATCTTGAATGTATGTATTCTAGATGAGTTACAAACTCATCTTGAATACATACCTGAATACATACCTTTACCTGAATAAACATCCTACCTTACTGACAGGCTCCAATATGTTTCTGTGAATAATACAATTTCTCCCACCCTACCCATCAACATTGGTGTTCCTCAGGGCAGCATACTTGGCCCTCTCCTCTTTCTCATCTACATTAATGACCTTCCAAATGCCTCCCAACACCTCAAACCAATTCTATTTGCTGACGACACAACCTTCATTTACTCCAGTCCTGACCCCCTTGCTCTAAATGCCACAGTAAATACTGAGCTAAATAAAGTCCATCATTGGCTAACTGCCAACAAACTCACCCTTAACATTGACAAAACCTTCTATATTCTGTTTGGCAATAAATCCTCTAGTCTTATAAATCTCAAAATAAACAATACCCAAATTTGTAACAAATTAGATGGCAAATTCCTTGGCATTCTCATTGACAACAAGCTGAATTTCCAGGGACACATTCTAAATATATCAAAAAAAGTTTCAAAAACTGTGGGCATTCTTTCTAAGATCAGATATTATGTACCACGCCCTGCTCTGGTGACTCTCTATTACTCCCTTATCTATCCTTATCTCAACTATGGTATTTGTGCTTGGGGTTCTACTACCCAAAATCACTTACGTCCTCTAATTACCCAACACAAAGCCGCTATTAGAACAATATCCAACTCTGGCCCCAGACATCACTCGGTACCCCTACTCAAATCTCTTAATATGTTAGATATTAAGTCACTGCACATTCTCTCATGTGTATTATACATATATAAAACGCTAAACTATAATGCCAATCCTGATCTTAAAAGCTTCATAGAAGGTTGTAACAGAACCCATGAGCACCACACCAGAAATAAATACAGTTTTGATATTCCTAGAGTACGTCTTAATCAAACTAGAAATGCTCTGCAAATCAAGGGGCCCAGAATGTGGAATGACCTTCCCAACCATATTAAAGACTGTCCCTCTCGCAACCAGTTTAAGATAAAAACTAAACACTACCTAATAAATTCCCTGTAATCTACCTCACTCCTCTATTGTCAACCCATGTCTGTTATTTTCTTTTTTTTTTCTTTTTTGTAATCAACACTGTTTGTCAACCTATTGTATTTGTGCTGCTTTTTCAGTCATGTTCCCCCTTTTTTTTTATCTTTATTTGTATTTGTTCTCAACATCTTTTATTCTTTATGCTCAATTAGTATTAAGTTCTAGATATTTATGTTTTTCTTGCCCGAAACGCATTGCGTAATAGTGGCTTTAGGCATTGTATGTACTAGCTCTATCTATATATCAATCCATTAATGTAACATCACTTGTATGTATATACCTTACCTGAATAAACATCTGAATTTAACTAGATAAGATAAGATGATATTTATTCAGGTAAAAGTACATACATTCAAAATGAGTTACAAACATAATGTTGAATTTCTAGATAGAGCTAGTACATACTATGTCTAAAGCCATTAATGAGCACAACGTTTCGGGCAACTGTAAATATGAAGCTGGTGGATTGCGAAACGTCCCCCCCCCTCATTATTATCTAGACTTTTTTACATTTATGTTTTGGGCTGACACGCTATCTTGGTATTTAAGGCAGCGGCGAGTAGGCCGCTTATTTATTTATTATATCTTTAATAATAAAGCGTCTCCTGTTGTGTCCTACATTGAAATTGAAATTGAAATAAGTTTATTGAGGTAAAATACACACAAAGGGATGAGGTAGCTCAAGCTATTCTCACCCCGTTCAGTACAACGTGTTAGTACATACATATACACACATCACAAACAATAAACATGTTACCAAACATTCTGAGAGATAAACATATACATTTCCTCCTTCACAAGTAGTATGGTAACAGACGTACACACAAATACTTTTATGACATTGTGGCTTGTTGAGCTTAATGCTGTTGCCTCTTGTGAGTTACATTGCACTTTTAAAAGAAGTGGTCTGAAAAAATGTTTTCCAATTTTTTCAGTATTTTAAAGGTCTAGATGTGATTAGCCCTATTATGTCTTGTTTGTACAGTTGGTTTCGTGCTGGGGACAGAAAGCCTGCTAAACTACAGAGGTTTCCCCTGGTTCATTGACTGACCTTCCTCGGGATGTAATCCACAGTTAAATAATTTGATACCTACGTACTGTTAAAGGTGAACAGTGAAGTGTAATAATGATTGTGGCCCAGTTTGTTAGTGGATTGGAGCTATCTAGTTAGAGCTTTGACTAATTTGTTGTCTATACCGCCGTCTTTCTGTTGCACAACGTGATGGTGGTCCGGAACGGACTGAGGTGTCGTCGTTTCTTCGTTTTTCTAATGTGTGGTTTAAAATCGGCTGGCTATCATCAATGAGTTTGGGTGGCTATAAATAGGAGTTGCCACGTGTGGGCCAATAGGCTTGCTACAGTTTCTTTAATTCTTATGTTCTTATTTCATATGCAGTACAATTTCATTATATATAGAGCTGTCTAGTCTCAATTCCCGTATCTTTTCTCACTCCATTACATAGTGATATAGAGTGTGTAAATAAATTTGCTGACACAGTTTGCACCTTCTTGTAGGTAAATAAATAAATAAATAAATAAAATAAATAAATAAATAAATAAATAACAATCTTTCATATCGGGTTGCAACTTGTTTACACTTTCCAAGGGTTATAAATATAAGAACGGCAAAACTTTACGATAGAAGCGCTTTTATTTAAGATTTAAAATGTCAGATTTCCACAAGAGCATAATGTGTGGTGGATACCTGAGTAAAAATGACTGACTACGGGGAGAGAGGTAGAGAAGAGAGCCGTGGAGAGGTGCATCGGTACGCTCCCTCCCAAACACCCGGTCAGTCATGGCGGACGAACTTCCCTACCGCGCCGAATATGCCAAATCTGGCCGCGCCTCCTGCAGAGGATGCAAGGAAAACATCGGAAAAGAAACTCTGCGACTCGCCGTGATGGTGCAGGTGAGGGGGGCGGGGTTCTCCACTCGTGGTAATGTGTATGTGGTGAGAAAGTGGGGTGTTGAGGGCAACGGGGCGGCGTTCCCGCCACGGCCTGCGGGTCCCGAGAGGCGTCGGGAATGCCTTGTTTCTGAGGTCCTGAAGGAGGTTATCGGGGATTAATTAGCCCATTAATGAATTTAGGTTAATGAAGCTGTTCATGTTTTGTCGTTGACGCGATTCAGTTTTGTTTGAGAGGTATTTCAAGGATAATTTGTGTTGTGGATTTCTGGTTTTCGCCCATGTTTCAGCTCTTAGGGATGTATAAGGGTGTTCTATTGGCAGTATAACATTGTCTGGGACTTGAAGTCTGTTATCGGGGTTCTCCTTGCCGAAGGCGAGGCAGTGCACGGCCACCTTTCTAGTTACTGGCCAGATCCAACTGCTTAACCTGACTGACTTTAGTGACTTGTATTTCATTTACTGCCCCAACTTTGGTCTTGCCACGGCCTGTACTGTCAACTGCAATACATGTTTAACTTAGAAATAAATCTTTAGGACATTGATTATTTAATAAATGATCACATAATACGATTTTAATATAGTACACTCAAATAAAAATATTTATTTTTTAAACCTGATTTCACACTGTCCATAAAATTCACTTTACTTAAATTTACCCGAGTGCCACCATATCTCTAGTGACGTAGATGGGAGCAGGAAGTGGGCAACTCATCAAGGTTCTGATTCATTATCCGCCGATTCATACCATTGAACGTTAACAATGTACATTGCTTTTAAGGTGCTCTGTACATTTACGTGGTTAAAAAGAGTATTTACACACCGTTACCATGTCCCATAATATTAAATCTTAATGGTTAGAGGTCCCCAAGGAACGTACCACGAAACTTTGGTATATTTATACAAGAAGGTACAGTGGGTTTGTGAGAGTGCCTAACATTGGTGTTTTTTATATTCTTGCCAAGCAACTAACTTAGTGATTTTGGCAACTTTACCCCATATATTTTACCTACATTGAAACAATTTATCTCTTCCACATCTATTATATCTCCATTGTACTCCCTTGTTAATTAATAATTTTTTTTTTATAAATTAAAATACCTTTATAATGCATGTTCCCTAAAAATTACTTGATATATTGCATGATACATATGTTCGAGTTTTTAACACTGTCTTGATAATGTTGAGCACTAATTGGTTTGGGCTAATTTTACCATTTTCTTTAATTCTTGGACTGTGTTTATTCTATATACTTGTCATATACTGTATAGTGCAAGCCACAATACAAGTACTGTACTTTGAAAGCTATTAAGCTTTTATAAATTTTGTGTTCTTATTCTCGTAATTTAATGCCTTGAAATTACAATATTAAGAGCATAAGAACAAAGGTAACTGCAGAAGGCCTACTGGCCCATACGAGGCAGCTCCTATCTATAACCACCCAATCCCACTCATATACATGTCTAACCCACCTTCAAACAATCGAGGGACCCCACCTCCTCCACGTTACGCAGTAATTGGTTCCACAAATCAATAACCCTGTTACTGAACCAGTATTTACCCAATTGGTTCACTTTGACTTCTCATAATCGGACAGGGAGCCTGATAGGCCTATCAAGGTTACCCCCCCCCCCCAGGCCAATTCCTGGCCTTTCCTCAGGATGCAATCCCACAACAGTTGCTAACTCCCATATATGTATGTATTTACTGCTAGGTGAACAGAGGCTCAACACTTAGTGGGCCAGCCAGAGGCTTAGGGCCCACGCAGGAATATCCCTGCAAAAAAAAAAAAAAAAAAAAAAAGGTGAAAGGAAACATTGCCCAAATACTTCTATCTTGGTGTGGAAATCGAACCTGAAACCTTTTAGTGGTGACTTGACTGGGGTAAATGTTTCTTACCAAATTTACCTAACATAAGCTAAATGTGAAAACATTTTCTTTGTTCTTTTTTTCAGTCGCCAATGTTTGATGGGAAGGTGCCTCATTGGTATCATCAAATGTGCTTTTTTGGAAAACAACGTCCCCGCACGGTAGCTGATATTGCTCACTTTGATACTTTGCGCTGGGAAGACCAGGAGAAAATTAAGGCAAAAGTTGGTATGTATTGGAGTTTTTGGGTTACTGGCTCAGACATCAAGAATTAAGTTTTTTTTTTATTTTATTTGTTATTGAGCTTATCAGTGTACTTATCAAAAGAACTGTATTATATAATTTAGGTAAGGTTATAGCATTTAAGTTCATGAGCTTATATTTGCATGTTTAGATGTGGATGCTTAAGAGAAAGGTTGTTTAACTGCATAACTCAAGCGACACGTAGAGATAATTATATTAAAGTTCTTACTCTCGCACACTATTTAGCTTATCTACTTAGCATTTTCATGTAAAGCAACTATTATACCCAGTACAAAAGGTGTGTGTTTTATTCTGATTCATTATAAATTTATAAAAATTTAGTAAAGCATTTAATAGGGGAAATATTATGTGGTAAGTGCTGCATTCATTTACACAAAATAGTATAAATGATAATTCACATTTATTTTGTGAATCATTTTTTCAAGGCATTCGGAATAAGTTCTGAAATTTATTCAGAAGTTGGTATGAATAGTGATTACTCGTATAGTCATTGACCTGTTTTGTTATCTACTTTTATGATGTGAAAAAATTGAATATATACATCAATCTTACAGAAAGTGGTGGTGGTGGTAGTGTCCCAAGTGGCAATGTTAAGGCAGGGAAGAAGGGGAAGAAAGCAGCAGCAGGTGGTATGCTGGATTTTCTTACTGAATATGCCAAGAGTGGTCGGGCTATGTGTAGAGGATGTGAGACCAAGATTTCAAAGGTAAGTGTAGCCTGGGAAATAAGTGCCATACCTGCATAAAGGTAGCAGTTTTCTGCATGTTTTAGTAAATTAGTTTAATAGTCAATAACATATTGCTTATTTTTGTTTACATTAGTTTGGTCATATTACTTTTTATGCAAAGTTTACATCTGATTTCTTGACTTGCACCGATTTGTTCATTGCACCGCCTTGAAATTTACAACACTTGCATATGATCACAAAAATGAGCTACTGGTTAAAATCAGGATTTTTCCTTTGTTTCCATCCATTCTCTCTTTGTTTGGGCTTTAAGTCTGCTGTCCTAGCAAGTGTCCAATACAGTACTCCAGGCTACAATCCTTTTACCATGTCGTGGCATAGTTATCTAGAGCGTGTGCCTGGGAACACCCAGCGCATAGGTTCGAACCCTTATCACGGCTCCTGATTATCTGACTATACATTGTCATGCACAATTACGAACCACTAAGTCTGTCTGGTGGATATGGTGGTAATGACCATGGACAGCACACACACACACATCCTTCAGACCATTCCAGCAGACGAAGCAATGCGATAAAGCAGAATGTGTCACAATATAATATGCATATCACTAATTCAAGGCATAGTGTTGCTATTATTATCAGCATCTTGATAACAAAAGTGTGTAATTTGATAAATTTATGTAATAAAATGTGTGGAACATTAGTATACTCAAAATATGGTGTGCATACAGAGAGAGTAGTCACACTAACGTAATGTAACAAAGAAAATCCGTAGGAGCTGTGATGAGGATTCGAACCTATGCGGTGAGTAGTCCCCCCCCCCCCCCACACGCCCCAGACAATTGGATCACGACATGATCAAAAGGATTGAAACCTGGAGTTCTGCTGAACACATGAAGGTTTCCTGAGGCTTCCACTGAAGCATCTAGGAGTGTTCTACCTCTGACACTCTTCTTTCAATACACAGATAAAACAAGCTAAAAAAAAAAATTTAGTAACATAAATAAATAAGTAAAAATATCTTTGTAGCATCTCCCACCCCGGGGCAGACCATGGCGGGGCAACTGTTCTGTCAGTGCCTGTAAATTGCCAGACTTCCTGACTCCACCACAGCCATAGTATGTCGCATTCAATTTTTTTCCTTGGTTAGTGAGCGCATATAAATAACATTATAAGGAAAACTAATTAATTTTTTCCATGCACTGTGGGATTGTACATGGTGCATGGAAAAATGAGTAATAGGCATGCAGCCCAAGGGTAAAGTACGGTTCTTAACTTCACTACTCACATTTACACCTACTCACATTGACAATTGTGTAAATGAGCTGATTGATCATCTCTCTGACACTTACATTCTTTCGAGAACTATCAAACTATATCTGAATTCATCACGAGTCTGATGTTCCTCCTCTGGATTTTTAAACCAGTAGCAATTGCCAATTGACGTTGCTCACTGCACTTTAGGTTACAGATAACTTTCCGATCCCTGAAGGTTGGAGAGAATCGCTTCCACAGTGCTGACTGAAGCATTACACAAATGAGGGCCCACATCATCTATGACTTACCACAAAACCACCTTACTGCTATAATACTTCCTAATCCTTGAAGTCACCTTTATTGTGATTAATTACATTGCCTTTCATTGCTAGAGTACATAATTTACTCAACAAAACAAAACTTACTTGGCTTATATAAACTTATTCTGCCAAGAGGAAACTTCATTGGCTTACTGTTCTTATGGCCAATTAGGATTAGAGTGCATTATCATGGCTACTTTGGCAGTATTTTCTTCAATGTTCTCCAAATGGTGGTGATGTTACTAATGTTATGTTGCCAAAAACATGCCTCACGGCTCCACCATCTTAACGTTACTGTCTAATCGGTCATGTGAATACAAAAGTGAGGTAAACACCCCCTCCACACTAGTTACTCATAAACATTTCTGTATTTCCATATTTAAAAAAACATAAACACTGAATATACTGAGTAAATACTTAGCATATTTATGGCATGCCGTGGGTACATGTTGAGTTAGAAATATAGCAAGACAGTGATGCACCTCGTCGCACTATATAGTAGGAAGTTTCTTCATGGTAACCAAAATTTGTTTGTCATTCATGTGTCATATTCTTATCATGTGTCTTGATAATTTAGGTCAGTATACCTAAATCCATATTAAAACAGTATTACATTATTTTGTTTGTATTAAGCCTAATCATCTTAGGCATGTCACTCTAGGAACTTAATTAATATCATTTATGACTACTTATCTGATTACCATAATTATATCTTACAGGGTGAAATAAGAATTAGTAAGAAAGAATTTGATAGCGATCGGGCAAAAATGTATGGGCCAGTAGACCAATGGCACCATGTAGATTGTTTTGTCAAAAAACGAGAAGAGCTGCAATTTTTTGAGAGTGGAGACATGCTTCCTGGGTATAACACACTTTCTGCTGATGATAAGAAGACATTAAAGGAAAAGCTGAAGAAAATTGAAGTGTGAGTAGTTCTTGGATTACTACTAAAAAACAAACAAAAAAATTTGTTTAGATTCCAAGACTGAAAAATTTTTAAAACAATTATTAGTCTATTTATATCCTAGAGTTTGATTTTTAATGCTGTTTTTCATATGATTCCCAGTGGGTTTATTGTAAATTTGTAACGGTTGTAGTTAAGTGTACTCTTGCTTTTAGGAAACGCAAGGCAGAAGATGAGCCGGACACTGTATCTAAAAAAATTAAAACTGAAGATGAGGAAGCGGTGCGCAAACAGAGCAAGACATTGTATAAGTGTCGTGATGAGTTAGGCAAATGCCTTACTAAAAAGGATCTTAGCAATATTTTGGATCACAATAATCAGTTTATACCCCCTGGAGAGAGCAAGGTAAGATAATTACTGTTTTCAGTTTTGAGAATGATAATTTTGTAAATTACTGTGGCATATTAGACTGTGATGATGGGATATGTATTTTAAGTTTAATTTATACTTGATTTTGCTTTATTAACCTATATAGTAGATTTTTGTCTAGGTGTTGCATTGTGAATTTCAATGACAAGCAATTAAAAGGTTTTTGTTGGTCCTGAATAGTGATGTCTATTTTCAGATGTCATTTATTTCTGGGGCAACTCGAAAAAGAATTTGCATTTCTGTCTATTGAGACTTGTCTTTTTCTCCAATATTGATGTGATTGTATTAGTGCAAGTGGTAAAACTTCTATTTGTGTACAGTATATTATATGCCAAAGATACATAACAAATTCTGTTTTAGAATTTCCTTTGTTTATCCAAACATGGAAGCCAGATGATTGAGATATAACTTGATGATTCTGCCAATTGCATTCAGATTTCTATTGAACCAAGTTCTATTTGAACAAGACTATTGAGATTATTGTAATTAGGTGTATAGTTCAAAGGTCATTGTCAGCATAACTTTAGCTACATGCAATAATTTTTTTTTCTGCTACACCTCAAAAGCATATCTTTGATAAATCTCTGATTGATAAATTTAATTTGATATATTTGTTACGTTTTTAGGTTAACACAACATGGGCTATGAATATTTTTCCTTTTTTGCAAAAACTGAAGTAATTCACTTTTGATATTTTGCAGATGCTTGATGCCATTGTTGATATTATGACTTTTGGGGCATTGGAGCCTTGTGAAGTTTGTAAAGAATGCAATTTTCGTTATACGTAAGTACCTTTTTTTTTTTTATCTTGACAATATTAATCTTTATAGTACAGTTTTACTCTTAAGTCTGTCTTGATTATTAACCAGTATTCTCAAGCCAATCATACAGAATTACATTTAAACACTTGATTATTGTGCCTTTATCATCCCTGTGAGTTCATGCTGAGATTAACTGCCCTTTTAATCAAGGGAAACTGCATACAAGTTGTCCCATTTTCTATAATTCCTAATTCATATTGTTAATTTTATTAATTCTTTTTAATTATCATGCCTGAAATGCTAGGTAAATTTTGATTAGTTTATATTTGAATTAAAGCAAATTTAGTGAAGTCTGATATCTTAATCTTTCTCCTGGAGACATGTTAGTACATGGTTTTCCTTCTGAAATTAGCTGTTGTGAATGGAAATCGGTTGGGTGCTAGGTGCCAGAGTTGAGTAACTTATTGACTTAACTGCTTACATACTTGGTTTACAGTCATGGTTAGTGACTTGATAGTTTATTGAAATGTTAATAATAATGTGTGCGCCACAACACTAGTTATGTTTTACTTTTCTGTCATGCAACTGTAATGTAATTTATTGCTATTTTCTCATTTTCAATGAAAAAAAGATTGAAAACTTTGCAACATGGTATCTGACTCATTCCAGGGCCCCTATAATAAAATGTATATAATTTAAGGAGTAAAGTTACCTGCACTTTAGTGCTGAAAAATGTGCAGCACTTTTACCATTTAATTAATCAAAATCACAATAGTGCCTTCTTCACCTTGTACTCGTTGCAGTTTCGTGTAATCATTCAGCCTTATGTTCTCATTACACCACGTTTTTGTATCCTGAGAGATGGTAGTCTGAGGATACAATCGAGCCTGGCCTCAGGCCAGGCTCGATTGTAGCTCAGGGATTGCAGGCTCATTGAGTAGAAGAACTCGCGAAACCCCCTCTCTCTAGGTGGCTAGATTCTTGATAACCCATGGCATTTATATTTCCAGATCTGGCAAGGGCTATGATTGTCGAGGTAATCTGACGGAATGGACAAAGTGTACCAATTTTGTAGAAGAACCTAAACGACGACCATTCCGTTTACCTGAGGAGCTGAGAGATAAGTCCCCATTCTTGTAAGAGCCATACTAATGTTATGCATTTGTAACTATTTTGATCTTGATAAAATATTTTTACAATGGGATGTGCTTGAAGATAATACACATTTTTGTTGTATTTTGTTTCCTAATGCAAGCAGGTGGCAAATGCTTCATTTTAATTTCAGCCAAATCATCACATATAAATCCTCTATAACAGGCATGTCAAATATGCGGCCCTTTGCAAGTACATCTTCGGCCCACACAAAGGATACTGCAATTTGGTCATTTAAAGTTTAAAAACTTCAGAAAAGGCCCTCATGACAACACAAATGTGACCCATATGGCTCTTGGGGGGACCCTCAATTTGACATGCCTGCACTATAAAATTTAAAGGTAATTCAAGGAATTTTAGGGATTTTAATCGTGTGGCCACTGTGGGAAGGGGATTTCTCAAAAAAGAGTAAGACAAAAATGCAGATATTGATAATTTAGGCATTGTAAATGGATAAGATAGTAGACCATTTGGATGCAATCAGTGGCATTTATTTTGATTCGTTCGGGAATTATACTGATAATGAGCTCATTCTTTCTTTCTCCTTATCTCTATTTAATCTGCTCACCACTTTACATCTTGTTGTATTCCATATGGTATTCCCATCCCTCACTTGGCTTAAAACCTCCTTACTGTTTTATGCAGTTATGTTTTGATTAGGTCACTCAGGTTCTCAAATGAAATTGGGTGCTCTGTAAATGGCATTGTGTTGTTGAACAAGAATCTCTCTGTATCCTGAAGTTCACAAATATCTCTGCAAAAACATTGGGATTTTATTTGCAGCTAACTAATTTATAATTGCAACCAAAAATGATAATTGGTGCATTCTATACCTAGATTCTTTAAAAATGTGTATTTTTATTGTTTAATTTTTTGAACACTTGCACTGAATTGTGGTCCAGTGAATGTACAAGGTAGCTCAGCCAGAAGAATTCCAGTGTTCCATTGTAACCAAATGATCATACTGTACTGGAATGGATTCCTCCTGTTACATCTGGCTGTTTGGTACATCAAGTTTGTGCGTTCAGTAATCACCTTTGCATTGGTAAGATGGCCAATAAACACAAGCTAACTTCATTGCTCAAGGTACTGGTAATGGCCCCAAACAGCCTCCACTTATGGGCTATTCATGCCTGTGCCACCTCTTGGGTAGCTTAATCTCTTTTATCAATCAATCATTGCTCAAGATTTACAGATTATTATGGTCGTTTCTTTTAAACTGTTGTATCTCCCATGGTTCAGAAAGGAATAACTGTATACATAGACTTAATTATCTATGAATTGTTATACTGTCATCAGACATTATATATGAATATTTTATTTCTAATTTCCAGAAAAAAATACAAATTTAAGAGCATTGGGAAGAGAGTTTGGATTGATCATGGCCCAACTACTGCTGAGGTTGTTCAGAAAGATGAAAATGAGTAAGTATGTCTCACCATTTTTTAGGGTGGTGTGTGGATGTGGGTTTTTATGTACAATACATTTTCTTTGCTTTGCCCCCTCCCATGGATATAATTAATAATTTTAGACATGTTAGGCTTATATTGAGGTCACCCCAAAGGTTGAACTACTGACCCTTCCCAGGATGTAACCCCATAACAAACTGACTAACTCTTGGGTACCTGTTTACTGCCAGGTGAACAAAGGCATTAGGTGATGGAAAACTTGCCCAACCATTTCTGTCCCACCCGGGATTCAAACCCAGAATTCCTGATTGTGAGTTGGGAACGAACCCACCTGTACTACAGAGACCCTATGGAATTGGACATTTATTGTTCAGTGTGTCCATAGAAAATTTAATTTGTGAATAGTGAATGATTTGGTTATGAAATTTGATAGTAGTACTTTGAAACAGGACTTCTGTATTTGCTTATGTGAAAGTATTTCTTGTAGCTTTATTTGTTTATGTGAAATTATTTCTGGTAGGTGACATTGAAAAAAAAAATATATATATATATATATATTTTTAATATTTGGCATTGTATATGTCAGATATATATGGAAAACTGCCTCACAACACAAAGACAGTGGGTATAAGTAGAAGTTGCCATTTATTGGTGTCTTGCAGTTTCCTCTATTTTTGGGTTCTTAATGAAAAAGTTTGACATTCCTGTAAAATAGGAAACAAGACATTTATATACAAAATAAAAAAATATTAATAGACATGCACAAAATTTTTTAAGTGCCCTCAGTAGTCTCAACTTGCCACACAATTTGTTGTAGACTATGTGACTATTACATGAAGGTACATTAGGTTTGAGAGATTACATAATATTAGTATTTTTACATTCTTGCATAGTCACTAACACGCATGTTGTTTCGGGCAGGGATAGACTAGGGATATATCCTTTAGTTGCCATAATGTGAAATTGCTCATTGCTAAATTTTCCATTATATTTTCTTCAGTGTGACTGTGTCTAAATCTTCAAAACCCCTGGAAGGTATGACGTTTGTCATTGTTGGCAGCCGCTTTACCAAGGACAAAAAAACGATGAAAAGTAAAATTAAAGAATTGGGCGGTGAAGTAGTAACAAAAGTACAAGCAACTACTACAGCTGTTATTACTACTCAAGGTCAGTACTTTCTATTCTAGGTGGTAGCATCGTTGCATAATTTGCATAATAAAGGTTTAAATGTTTACCAAGAATGTGTTGTGTTGCATAAATTGAACCTCTGTGTAGTAGGTAATAAGTAATGATTTGCTATAGGCAAATCCTGGTGTTTGGCAGGCCCTTGGAAGCCCAGATTCCTGGTAGCATTGTAGATATTTGGGATCTCTGCAATATATGCAGTATATATATCTGCCAATGCACTGGGGAGATATTGAGAACCAGCCCAGAAAGGGTGGGATTGTAAACATTAGTAACCCATCTACTACGAGTTTAAATATGACAGTGATACTGTGATGTGGACTATAGGGATAAGTTGGTTAGTGCATTGTTCCTGCAGCATAGTGAAGTTGCTGTTGTGGCCGAGGAGACTGGTGTGCAGGGATTGAGTGTGAATGGTCCACAAAACAAGGCTGGGTGGAAGAATTTTTTAAAATGGTGGTGAACTTGTTTGTTTGTGCTGTGTGACAATTCATAAGGAGTATGTTAAAAGGAATGAAAAACAGCCCGAAAGTGAAGGAGAAGGGTAGCAACAATGGAAAGGGAAGTAATGGCAGAGATCTTAATTATTTATAATTTCTACCTCAGAAACAGATTGATTGGACAATGAAAGATCCTAACGGTGGGAGTGATAAGTGGAGAGCACAATCAGTACCTGTATTCAGCAGTCACAGATTTCTTGATACAAGTCATAATGCTGCCTACCCTAAACTTTATATTCACCTTGAGTGACTCAATGAAAGTACTGTCAAGCTTTGATTCTTTGCAAGGGGTATGCTCCTAGAGCACAAGATGCAGAGCAAACTCAATTTCACATGGGAGAACATTAATACCAGTACTGTATGTCTACCTATAAATGACTATAAAATTAACATTTCCAGTTTCAGTAAAACATCTTTTCTATGTAGGTGACAAATTGGAAACAAGTCATAGTTAGAGGTGATGTCATAGATTTATGGGAAATAGTAAGCAAGGTCCCATCAAAGGTTCAGCTTTGGCACACACTATTTACACCCCTTATTTTCATTACTCATTACTGTATTCATTACATCCCTTGTACGATTCTTTTACACTCCTGCGCTCATTACAACCCTGTATGAATTATAGTATACTTGTTTTATATTTACTTGACATGTTTTCATAATTCCTCTTGAGCTTAGCACTAATGGTCTCCCTGTTCTCATTTTACACATTGCACTTCAAATACCGGAAGAGAAGAGAGGTGGATAGAGCAAGTACTTTCAAGCGTTACATTTTTAAATATGAATTATAATTATTTATGGTTAGGTCAGGTTTATGATTGACATAAATAGTGTGTATGCGGAGGCTTGGATTGAGAGTGAACAACTCACAGATGTGGTAAAGAGTAGGGCTGTAAATATATTTATTTGTTAGTACTATGTAAGACAGTTGATGCAGAGCACTATACACCTGGTTTTATTAAGTGGTGTGTGGATGACTGCTAGTGTGTGGTAGTGCCGTGTTATCCATGATGCTACAGTGCAACTGTGAATGATAAAAGAATGTGAACAAGTAATATTGGTTATTTTTATTTAATATTGATTGGGCTTTTTTTTATACTGCATGCAAAAATGTTTTAGAAAGAATGAATGAAAGAGGGGAGAATAATGCATATTTAATCAATGAATCTATGAAGAGAAAGAACATTTGGAAGGGACTGGCAAGTCAAAGCAAGGAAGGCAGATATGGCATTTGTATATTTAAGATTAGTTCATATCTTTGTAAGGTATAGTGAGATACGCTGACTTGAGAGACCGCTAATATCTTCCTCTAATAGCTAGGATTGAAACATATCTAGTTTTATTTTTTAGAATATAATTGCAGTTTGTATTTTTATGAATTCCTGGTATTTCGTAATTTTAATTGTAATGAAATAGGTAGGCTTGGATAGCCAGTGACTCCTTCCTCAATCAGTGTTCATTTAGTTCTGTATATTTTCTCATGTACCTGCTAGGCATTTCTTTTATAAGCTTTGCATTTATGTAACAAAAGCATATATTGTAAAAATAATTTTCTTTTTGCCCATAGATATTATTGGAGGCACAGACAAGAAAATTGATGCTGCAAAGACCTTCAATGTGCACTGTGTGAGTGAAGATTTCTTGGACGAAGTAGAGAATGGAGGTGCTGCATTGATGATACAGAAGAAGAGTATTGCTTCCTGGGGCGGTAATGTATGTATCTTGTACCATATTTACCTATAGAGCCTTGCCTTATACCTATTATACCAATTTGTAACTCCTGATTTTCCAGTACTCGTGTCAAACTTGCCTTTGGATTCTGTAACTATGGATGCTTTTACAATGTTTGGTTAGAGTTCATGCCACATGTTCACCACCCTCATTTCATAGGGATATTTTCCTACGTTTCACTGACTCATCTGTGTGTTAACTTCCACTTGTGCCCCTCTTGGGTTGTCCCTCACAGTGTGGCAAAAATTGCTATGGTCCTACTTCCTTGCTTACATTAATTCTTCTAGGTGTTTCTATACCTCCTCAGTTACAACCATAACGCATAGTGGTTTTCATGATTCTGCTAGCTGTCTCCTGTAGCACTTCCAGTATAGTTATATAGTTATCTACATACGCAAATAATTCTTTGAACAGTGTCCTTATGTGATCAGAGAAGCACTTGTTTTTAATTTGAAAATATAAAATTTGTCCTTAAATTAAATTATGTTACTGATAATTTAATTAAAAACAGAAGTGCCTTGCAAGTTTGTGTGCATATATTTACTTTTGTTTTACTTATATTTTTCAGCCTCAAGATAGAGTTCAGAGCAGCAAATCCTCATCAAAGTCATCAAAGTTTGGTAAGTTCCAATTTGTTTATCTTGATTAGTTTTCACATTATTGTTTATAGCTTTCACATTCTGCTGCTCCCTCATGCAAGATTCCACTGCATCCTTGGACTTCAGAACATAGTCAGGAAGATGGGGGGGGGGGAGGATACAGCTCAGAAGTGCAGGGAAATTTTGATGCATGGTCATATTTTGCTCAACTTATTGGAGACATGTATATGTACTGCACCAACAACTACTAGATGGCAACACCTTGGCCACCTCTGGTTTTATTGACCTGAGAGGGCCTTCCATACTCCCTGACTGATGACCAGTAATATCACTAGCAATGCATATCTGTTATGCTCCAACATTTTTTCTATATATATTAGCTTCTCATGTGTGGTTACAGTATTTGCATGTCCCTGAAACTCTTTGGCCTCTTTCAGTTCATTGCTGGGGTACACAGCAGTGGCTTTGTTTTCTCAGCAAAACTGCTGTTCTCATCACAGGGGGTCACAGGTGTTTAATTATGTGCATTGTGCACATTTAACAGCTATGGAAGAGTGGATGACTTAATTTCTTAATATATGTCCACGAGCATCTCGTGTCTTCCTTTTGTCAGGAGTCACTATGAAATTAGGCTTGACATAGTTGAGCACTCTTGCCCTTCACCCAGGCTTCTTCCTTGGACTGAAGTCTGGAGCAACAGACTTGGTGATTTTTGTAGGTCTCATTGACCTTGTTTTGCATCCAAGTTCTTGGTGACTAGAGCATAGCATCTTGGGGACTGTGCCATGCCTGGGCAGTATATCTAGTGTTAATTCTTACGAGACTACATTGCAACATGGCATACCTTGGAGATGTACATTTCATTACCTGGGCAGTATGAAAGAGTGCTCTGCCGTTTATTTTGCTAGTATGAATCCCACTTGAATGGTACCCATGATGAAGCTGAAAAAATTTGCTAGCAGGAACAAGCCTTGCTACAGTGGAGTATGGCGTCTACTATGCCAAGACAATCTTGGTACTTAAATGTATATTCTCCTGCCTTTAGTATTAAATACTATTATCTAGATGCATTTAGTATTAAATGCTATTATCTAGATGCATTTAGTATTAAATACTATTATCTTTTATTTGTTGTGATGTTTCAAGTGCAATAATGCAATGGACTGTCAATAATGTTATTTGTATCACAGACTTTCGTTCATAGGTATGCATATATATTCGCATCGCTAACATGTGCACCATATTACATTCTTTGAGCAATAAAACAGTTATTGCTGTTATTACACTGTATATACATGTTATATATCACCATTTTTAATCACCATAAATAAGCAGTACCGCACAAGGTGTGGTGGGTGTGGCAGTGAAATAAAGCACAGCATAGCGCTACACACTACCAGCAAACTATGCAACGTGATGCAGCAAAATGCATCATGATATACTATACACATCAATAATTCTAGACACATTGCTGCTGTTATCATATTCCTGGACACTAATTCATGAATGAATAATTTTTCCCCAGTTTATTTTCTAAATGAACATGGGGTCGGGTTTCGTGATGCATACATGCAAGAGACCGCAGCTATCTGCTGTGAATGTCTGCCTCGCACAGAAAACATCATAACCAGCATTGTGTTTGCTGATATCTGAACCTTGTACAGACATCATCACAGTCATGATCTTCTATAACACTATGATTGCAAAATAATTGCAGTTATTAATTTATTTCTTCATAACCAATTGATTCTGTGGGCACAAGCTGCATGGTGGTGCTGCTGTGAGCTGGTGCTGCATTCGCTACCCACTGTTGCTCTCTCAGTACTGAAGCCCTCACACCCTGCAGGGGGTACCCATGATTTTTGTCCATGGTGGCTTCTGTTTACTGGAAGTCTGAGGAAAGAAAAGTGAACTCCATTTATATTCGGGATTTCTATATCTTATGTGGTACTGCAAATCGTCCTTGTGTGACTCTCATAACAGAAGGGTTAAAGATAGTTTTGGCTGGTTTAAAAACTTTTAAGAAATGCATGTAGGTGCATAGGAGGAGAAACATCTTGTATGAAAAAGTGTGTTGATGTGGACATTGTTGAGCCATTCAAATATAAATTACAACAGAGCACTAATATGTAGAATATTACTGAGGACAAATTCAGTTTTAAATTTGTATCACTGATAAAAGTAGTATGGTAAGAAGATATTTACTTCCTGAAACATACAGCATTAGTATAAGGAAATTGAGTGGCCATAAAGTTGACATAAGACATTGCCATTACAGATAATATTTAGTTTGTTCTAAACCTTAAGCAAGTGTACCTCAATCTCTCATTTTGAAGTCAGGCCTCATATGGTCTCACGAGAACTCGCAGGAGGCTTAGAGTGTGGCAGTAATGTACCAGATAAGGAATTTCTTGCAAAGATGGTTTCAGGTGTCTTTATGTTTAAATGCTTTCATTTTTAGATTCACGCTTTGTTAAAAGCATGCCAGAGAAACAGAGGATAAAGCTGAAGGGCGGTGCTGCAGTAGATCCAGATTCGAATATGGAAAACTCTGCCCATGTGTACCAGGTACAACTTAGATATCTCTAGTTTTTCATTTGAGATGTAAACATAGCAATATTTTTTCTTGAGCTTTCTGTACATGCAGAATTATCTTGTAGTTTTTATGATGGGCATAATAAAGCCCTATTTTTGTTACAAGGATTGTATTTGCCTCCTTGCAAATTATCTTAAAAAATTTTTGTTTGCAAGAAAACAATGCAGTTATATGGAAATAATAATGGTAAAACTACCAGGTTTAAGCATTGTACTGTAATATCATCAATGATGCTTAAAGTAAGAGCACCTGAGAGCTAGCTTAGTTCTGCTTGCTTTTATGTTCTTTTATAGAAAAAAAACATTGATTTTTAAGTATCAGAGACATTCAGCAGGCTTTGAGAGTAAAGTATTGTTTTGTTGGTCAAGTATCTAGTTAATGTTGTGATTTACGTAAAATTATTTAATTACAGCGAGGATCCAAACTGTACAATTGCGTTCTGGGCATGGTTGATATAGCGCGAGGGACAAATTCTTACTACAAGCTTCAAGTTCTGGAGAGTGATAATAAAAATGGGTTTGTAATTTTTCTGTCATTTGTTAATTTATGAGGGAGTAAGACATTGCCCATGTCTTAATGGGAAATGTACATTTCCAATGCTTCGATTTCTCTTCATAAAGCTTAAACTGTTGATTATTCACTTTATATTGAAGTCCATGAATATGCTTATCCATTTTCTACCACCAAGACAAAATGTCTTGAATGTTATACTGTATCTGTAATATTCCATAATACTTTTCATCTGGGTGTTTATAGTAACTTTTTAATGAAGGTGCTAACATTTGGGCACCTTTTAATGACAATGCCCACATGTGGTTACTGTGGGCACTCATTTGTTAATGGTCAGGGAAATGTAGTGCTTGGTGGACCGAAGATAGGAGCATGGCCCACTGTTCTCGTCTCTTGTTGTCCAACACAGATATCACTTCTTTGCTACCCTCTGTATTTTTATATTTGTTGTTTGGTTTTGGTCATGTGGTTTCTTTAATTTCGCTGATTTCTTGTCACAAATTTTTTGTACTAGCCTAGTTGTACTTGCGGGGGTTGACCTTCAGCTTTTTGGTCCCACCTCTCAACTGAACACTTTTATAAGACGAATAAATCTGCCAAATAAATAAGATGAATCTGCCTCCACCACATCAACTGTCAATCAACTGGTGTAGATATTCCTGAGCCTATTGGGCTCTTTATCATATCTACATTTGAAACTGTGTATGGAATCTGCCTCCACCACATCACTGCCTAATGCATTCCATTCAGTCGGGGAATGCAAATTTTGTCCGGCAGAAGTTCCACCTCCTTTGCTGGCTCGGTTTTCCGGCTCTTCCTGCTCGGTGGTCGCACCCGAGATCTTCCCACAGCTCCGCCTCTTCTCGACTCGTTTGGTCCATGGCGGGACTGGTTCGGCTCTGCCTTGGGTCTCTCACTTTCTGTTGGTCGGGTGGCTTCGTTGGTGGTGTCCCACCTGCGTTCTTGTTCTTGGCGGCAGTGTGGTGGGTTTTTGGCGGTCCTTCCTTTTTCCTTCTGTCCCTTCTTCAGTTCTTTGTTTTGTTGGTGTGGTCTTGTCCTCTTTTGCGGGTTCGGGGCCGTCATTTTGCCACATACTGTCACCTCGTATCGTGCAGCGCTGGCGGAGTAGCTTCAGCTTGCTTTCGGCATTGAGGTGACTTCTGCTCCGTTTAGCATGCTCAGGTGTTGTTTCGCCTCCGGCCTGCTCATGCGCCGCCTGAGCGGTCCTGATCATTGGACAGGGTGCTCTTATCTTCTCCTCGGTTTGTTGTGGCCCCTTTGGTTCCGGATTGTTTCTCCAAGGCTCTTTTTTTTTCTGTTGGCCTTGGCCTCTGGAGGTCGGGTTGGTGAGCGTCCTGCTCTCCTCCGGTGCAGGAGTTTTCTGCTCCTTCGGTCATGGCAATGGGGGTTTTCGTTGCAGCAGTCTCCTTTTTTTCTGGCGGAGAATGAGACGGCTGCTTTCCGGAGGGGTCCTTGGGTTGTTGATGCTTGGTTGGTTTGGCCGGAGGTGCATCATGTTTGGTGTCCGATGGCGGCCCTCCACCGTTCATTGCGTGCCACGGCTTCTATGTCCTGAGTCGCTCTTTGGGTTGATTCGGTTTCCCTCCTTCCCTGTTTGCGGGTGCAGGTCTCCCGGGTCGTCCGCAGGATTATTACGGCTAGCCGGCCTGTGGTCTCTCCCTATGTCCATGTTCGCGGCTCTTGCCGCTGTTTTTGGCAACATGTCCTGGGCTGTCATTCGGGCGCGGGGTTTTTGGTGGTCGAGCAGGGTCCTGGCTTCCCATTATCTCCTGCGCGTTCCTGGGCCTGTGTCGCTTTGGATCGGCAGTTGCAGCCGGTTGTCTCAACTTAGAGTTGAGGAGTAAGCAGCGACCGTCTCCCGGGTAGGTCCCTCTATTTTCCTCTGTGGGGAGTTAGCTCCGGGGAGCCAAAGGGGCTTCCCCCAGAAAACCAGCGTTGAATGTAATGAAACGCCATTTTCTGGGTGAGTCCTGGAGGCTCCCCGGCATCCCTCCCTCCCTCCGGTCGGCGGTTTTTCACGTTTTTTGACATTCAGCCTCAGAACTAGGGATGGATAGCTGGCGTGATGGGTCTGGGGCTCCCCCTTCCCCCTCCCGGGGAGGCGAGAGCTGCGCGGCAACGTGTGACGTCATGATTGTTTGCTCGTTTATTTTAGGGGAGTTCTATCCACTTGTTCGGCTTGTGGTACTGTAGTAATTTTCACCAGAATAGGGGTTTGTTTTGGGACGCTTACCTCTTTGGGTGCCTAACCCGGTCGATGGCAGACAGAATGCTTCCAACCACACGGGGGTTTCTATAGGCCATTGCTCCCCTTGCCTCTTCTGAGGGGAGCCTGGCTCGTGGTCCCCGGTAGGCCCATAGAACTCCATACACATGACTGATGCCAAAGTCTGATATTAGCATATCAGCCTAGTAAGCTCCGAGGAGCCTCCTGGACTCACCCAGAAAATGGCGTTTCATTACATTCAATGCTGGTTTTTTATTCTAAATTGAAAATCTGAAGTTTTCAATATTAAATTTTAAATTTAATTATGATTCTCTTGTTTTTCAAGTTACGCTGTGATCATTTAGACAAAGTTGGAGCATTAGCCTAGTTGATTATGCAAAAAAAATTGAAGAGAGTTTGTGCAAGTTTTAAAAACTTATGTTTAATTATTTTTTGTCAAACCATGTATGTATGTCTTAGCCATTATAATATATATATATTATTTTTTCATGGTTTATAAAGGTGGTGGGTGTTCCGTTCATGGGGTCGAATTGGTACAACCATTGGCAACAACAAACTGGAGGATTTTGAGGATCTTAATGATGCTGTCAGACAATTTGAACAACTTTATGAAGAGAAGACTGGCAACCGGTTCTCTGCAAGCGAATTTAAGAAAATTCCAGGGGCTTGGTATCCCCTGGATATTGATTATGGCCAGGTATGAAGCATTTATTTATTAAAATTTTACCCGATTTAACTGATAACCATTGTTGCTAGCAGCTGTGGCAGAGACAAGAAACAAATATGGCTTGTTAAGGAGCCTCCATTTTTCCTTTTTGTTTTGCTTATATTTGGTGACAGTATGCAATGAAATCAATACAATAACCCCTACCATTATGTAATGCAATCAATCTTGGATCTCCTGCTTTATGGAGGTAGGGGAATTGAGCTTGGGACTTACCTACCAAAAAATTATCAGTAAAGGCAAAATTGCTTTCAGATCCAGAACATGCTTTTGGTCAAGGCTCCAAAAGCATGGGCTGGAATTGGGGAAATTGATTAACCAGTGAATTGTGGAAAGCATATAGACACTTGGCAGGCTTATACTAACATTTCAGAGAGCAATCTGAATCCAGTTGCCTAAAAAATGTTTACACATTCTATAATGGTCACACAGCTTGAAGTAAAAATTAAAATTTGGGGTGGTATTTTGCTAATTGAAACTCACTCAGATTGACTGACTGACTGAAAGGAACACAACACTAAAGGCAGAGTGGAGGCGAGGTGAACAACAAAACAGTATTTTCGGGAAGATACAAGAGGAAGACAGACAAGAGCAGTAACGTGGCTTTCACCGACACTTCTAGTGCCCATATGTGTCTGCCCCTTAAGCTCCCCATTGGTTGCAGATTCTCTTGGTCATAAGATACAGGGTCATAATGTTAATTGTTTTCCCCCCTCCTCCTCGAGGGCTCGTATTTGTGAATTTGTCACCTTATTAGAACTCTAGGAGTTAAGAGATTTGGCACATGTAACTGAATTCAGTTTTCTATGACGTTTTTTGTGAGGAATCACGGAATGTATTGACTATTAATACCTCAAAATTGTAGGCAGACTTACTTTTCTAAATTTGTGATGTGTTACATATTTTGTCATAATCAAATATACTTGATTTGACAATCATAAATGTATTTTTTTTTTTTTTCAATTAACAGGATGATGATAAGGTGTCACAGCCTGTTGTAGCTGGGTCTAATAGCAAATTACCAAAACCTGTGCAGGATTTTGTTGCGCTTATCTTTGATGTGGATACAATGAAAAAATCAATGGTGGAGTTTGAGGTGGGTAATTATGCAGTTATGTTTGGTGTTGATTTAATTCTCAACATTCTGTTCTTGTATTAAATTTAATGGTATTGTATAAGAATGAATTTTGACATTATTATTATTATTATTGAGCAGAAAAATAATGCTAAAAGTGTAGTATACATTACTAAATACCGTATTTAATGTTAAAGGGGTTTAGTTTTAATGTTTATTAATTATTTTAATATTAAATTTACAGCTTGATCTTAAGAAAATGCCATTGGGAAAATTAAGTAAGAAGCAGATTCAGAAAGCATACAAAGTTCTGTCGGAAGCTCTGGAGCTAATTCAGAAGCTGGAGACGAAACCTGAAGGTGAAACATTAGTGTCTAGTGCAGCAGGAATTAAAGCCCAGCTTTTGGACTGTTCTAACCGGTTTTATACTTTGATCCCACATGATTTTGGAATGAAGAAGCCACCTCTACTTGATGATTTGGATCTAATAAAGGTTAGTTTTAAATCTAGAGTTTATTATAACAAAAATGTTGTAATAAAACATTGTTATAAAGAAATTAAAAATAATGTTGTACATTTTCCCCATGCTTTAATGCGTATAAAACATTTGTCTTTAATTATAATTCGTATAATTATAATTATCTTTATCAGGGCTAATCTGATTTTCTGTGTACTTTGAGATCATATAATATCCTTGATTAATTTTGGGTTCTGTATTCCCTTGGAGTAGTTTAAGATCCTTGATGCATTTTCATTATAATATGAGGAATAATAATTTCTTTAGGTTTGAATGCTTTGTTTAAATCACTGGAGATTTATTAATCATTTATTTGATTTTGATTGGAAACTAAATTTAAAACTTGCTTTGTAGTTCCCCAGTGACAATTGTTTTAAGTTTGTTATAACCCTCAGTGTCATAGGAAGATACTTTTTGAGAGAGAGATACCAAGGTTGAGGTGTAGTGTGTCCAACAGAGAACTCCCATGATTGTGTTAGATCTATTGTCTTGATTAAGATAACTTCAAGATAACTTCATAAGATAACTTCAAGATAACTTCAAGATAACCTCAAGATTGTGGCAAATTTAAATTATTATTATTATTATTAATGTAGAGGTAATTGTACATTTAAGTAATCCTAATTAAACCCCACAGACAAAGATTGGCATGCTAGATAATCTCAGTGAGATTGAGGTTGCCTATAATCTTCTCACATCTGAGGATGATGGCGATAAGGATGCTGATCCAATTGATAAACATTACCATAAGCTCAAGACAAAGATGGATGTATTGGATAAGGATAGTGATGAATTCAAAATGATTCAAGACTATGTAACCAATACACATGCAACAACTCATTCACACTACAAGCTACTTGTTGAAGAGGTAAGACTATAGATAATACTAATAATTTATTACAAAGACTATACATTAAAACTCTTAAGAACCTAATGAGTCACAGTCCATTAGGATTTGTGTGTATTGTCTAACTAATATGAATGAATTAAATGTGGTGACCCTGGTGTTTAAATTTTGTTTCACTTCCAGGTATTCAAAATTGAGAGGGATGGTGAGAAGAAGCGTTACAAGCCGTTTAAACAGCTCAATAACCGTAAGCTCCTGTGGCACGGCTCTAGACTTACAAACTTTGCTGGCATTCTTTCTCAGGTAAAACACTTTATTATCTAGGAATTAACTTTTTTATTATTATTATAGTGTGTGTTTCTTTTATTTTGGGAAAGTGTCATATGTAAATATTCTATGATTTTGTATAAAGTAGAAACATTACCTGAACAGTGGATAAATAATGATTCACAAAACTTCAAAATTAAAAGATTATCATTTAAAAAGGCCTGCTAAAGAATGGGTAATGCAGTATCTAAAATGAAATGTAATTTGAAACAAACATTTTTTGAATACACAGATACTGATTGCGCTTGTTGCTCAGTGCTTAGTTGTGCAAGTTAGCATTGAAATGTAGCCAGGTGTGACTTGACAAAGGGGTCATATGTTTCATGTTCATGATGCTCTTCTTTTTTATTTAATATACAGTACTTAGATAACAGGTGGGGTATATTTTTCCTGTTTAGGGTGCTTTTTTTTTTTTTAATATCATACAGTACTTAGATGCAGGTCATTATAAGAGAAGTGATGCCTGGTAATACAGGAAATGTATATGTTTATCTCTCAGAATGTTCGGTAATACGTTTATTGCCTGTGATGTGTGTGTATGTATGTATTAACACGATGTACTGAACGGGGTGATAATAGCTTGAGCTACCTCATCCCTTTGTGTGTATTTTACCTCAATAAACTTATTTCAATTTCCTGGTAATACCTCTGTAATGCCCTGTTATTATTTCTTAATGTAATGTGTCTCTCTCTCTCTGCTTTACAGGGTCTTCGGATTGCTCCTCCCGAGGCTCCCGTTACTGGTTACATGTTTGGAAAAGGTGTATACTTTGCTGACATGGTATCCAAGTCTGCAAACTACTGTTGCACTTCTCATATTAATCCTACTGGCCTCATATTACTTTGTGAGGTTGCCTTGGGTGAAATGTAAGTCATTTTAATTTATTTCATGGCTTTTCTAAATTGATAGAACACTATTTACATTGCATAAAACAATTTAAAATACTGTATTGTTAAAACTTTTTTTTTCTTACAGGTACGAAAGAACTCGTGCCGAGTATGTTGAAAAGTTGCCAAAAGGTAAACACAGTACAAAAGGTGTGGGCAAGACGTGCCCTGACCCGAGTGGGGCCCGCATTCTCAAGGATGGCGTAGAAGTGCCTCTTGGTAAAGGTATTCCTTCAGGTGCCAAGGACACTACTCTGTTATACAATGAGTACATTGTATATGATGTTGCTCAAGTCAATGCTAAGTATCTTCTCAAACTCAAATTTCAGTACAACTATTAGTTTAATATTACTAAGTAGGTCAGTCTGTAGATAGTTTTGGTTTGTAAATTTACCGAGTAGAAGTGAAAATTGGTTTTGATCACCTTGTAAGTGCATGCGTGTGTTTGATAACCAAATGTTAGTGTGTTTTATGTGAGTGTGGTGCTTTTGTTGTTTCATCAGAGTATTATACACTAAAAACCACAACTTTTCATTAATATCTTTAAATTCTCAGTGCTGTCTGTATTTAAAAATGTAGAACTTTTAGCAATAGAAAAGTTAAATCATAATATCATTGTATTGCTTTTACGAAAGCAAAAATAGTTTTAATTATATTTTTTTACTAATGAATGTATAAGGAGCATGAATGGGGAAAGAGATTGCAGTATATGCAGTTTCTTTTTGATTTGTACTGGTGTTAAAATCCTAGTATTGTACTTATATAAAATGTACGAACCAAATGATCCACGAGTTTCTGTCCCTATAATGATGTCATTAAGTGTGCCCTTGTTATAAGACTGCAGGTATTTTTGTTTTACAAGTTATATTAATCAATAAACAAAAAATATATCTTAAGACATTTCATTAACATTTAGACCAAGGTGGTCCAAGTTCTTCGACACCGTGTGACACATCAGCACTAAACTTATAAGTCGAGGGCCACAAATTATACATATAATGTATTTATATATTTAAGATTAAAAAAATGGTAAGATCTTTTAGTGATACAAAAGCTCTAGGCAAGGGCCTGCACATGAAGGAATTTTTTTTTTTAGGGGCTCTTGAATTTATACAAAAATAATGCTTGTCATATCCTGACCAACTAACAATGTCTGTGGTTAAGACTTCTTTTACCAGTCTCTTCATATTGATTCCAATGTTGGTGGGCAAGTTGAAGATACGCGTCCAGGGTTTTATTTCCTGTCTGATTTCTGGTTGTAGTACTGAACATTGAGTGTAGCTTCAGTGCAAAGTCTCGCGGCTTGGTGAGTCTGTCCTTGCAGACCAACTTCCAGAAATTCCCGATTCTTAATTTTCTTTGCAAGTAACAATTGGTCAGACGGCATTTCACAGTATTTCAGGCTGAAGTTTTGGTAACCGTGTCTCCATATCTCTCATTTCCATATTTCTGTATTGTTAAGTATTTAATACGTAACATGGCATTGTTAAGTAAAAGGAGACTGGGTTTCAGCCCAAACACTCTAGATAAGTTATATTTTTTACTGACAGATTTGAAAAGTCTTGACATGACATCATCTGTTATGAGTTCATGACAAGAAGCAAAGTATGCAGGATCATTACTTCTTAAGCACTTTAAATAGCTGCAGCAGCTTGTACAAAGATTTTATGAGTACAACTAGAGAAATATTTTGTTGTTTGCCTTGTAAACTCAGGTTCAACACATTCAAGTGGGCTGTCGTATCTGTTAGGAATGCCAGGGTTTCCACATTTGGATATGTACAACGAGGGTGATTCACAATTAATTCTCGTTGGATATTGTCATGTCTCTTCCTGATGGCAAAGGAAGGCTCCACACAGAGAAGAATGATTCTCAATTTATTGGTCAACACCCAAATTTTTCTATGTTGACCAAACCACACACTAGAAGATGAAGAGAGGATGATTTTTTGGTCCGTCCTTGACTTTCATCGAGTCGACTGTGATGGGAGTGAGGGCATAAGTGAGGAGATGAAAGGTAAGAACAAGAAGAAAAAAGGGGTATATACAGATGGAATGAGTGTAAGAATAAGAGGAGAAAGAAAGTGAAGAAAGGGGGGCAAGTTTATGTTAGGTCACGTTTGTTAGAAAGGTTAGAGCATTTGAGTATGTACTGTGAAAGGGAAGAATTGACAGCAACAAAGCCAGGACTAAGGTTCATGTTGGGTATGTTGTGTATGTTGTGTATCGGAGCCGATTTGATAAGACAGCATCTGTGAAGAGTTGAGGCAGGAAAGATTAATTAAGAAGACCAATTAGTAACATGATTAGACCCCCTAACATGACTGACAAGAGCATTGTTGTGTCTGCAGACCGAACAGGAAATAGAGTAGACACCAGCAGCATTAGAAGCAGGATGGAGAAGTGTGAACCAGGATTCTCATTCCATCATTCTATCTACCACTTTTGCTGTGGTATTTACGTCCTCCAAAAGCCTATTGCCTTGTAGCCCTTAATCTCCAGGGACTGGCTAGGGCTTTGTTAACGATACCTCTTACTATATTCAGGAATTTTTTTTGGTAAGGGTTAAATCTGAATCATCAGGATCCAGAGGTTTGTGAACTAAGCTTTGGGTAATTCAGGACTTGACTAATACTTTTAGGGTCTTAGCAAATCAAGACATTTAGGGTACATATCCCCACCTATATGGGGAACAGGTAACATTTTCCAATTCAGTCTTTTGAGATGTTTTCTGCACATCAATAAGAGGTGGTGTAACTGGTCTCATATCTAGTTCTTCACAGTCTCTCATTTTGTTTCTTTGGTGACACTCATTCTTCATGGTTAGATTGCTAATGATTTATACTATTATATTAATTATATTAAAGCAGTTTTGTCTGATCCTCTTTAGCTAGGTTTTGGTGTTAATATCAGTCATCCCTCTTTCTATGCACCAATGAAACCTTTGTCTTTTGAAAAACTCTTTAAGAATTCTTGAGCTTGGATTGATTTCTAGTCTCCATGCATTTGCAGATTTGACCCTCAAGATTTTGTCCCTTTTCACCCTTGATACAGGAATTCTAATCATATTAGTTATGCTTTTGTTCATATCCATGCCACCTCTTGCTTCCTGGTTAAGAATAAAACCAGTGCCTTTGTGGTGGATTTTCCCATTGTTATTATTATGGTCTAGTTCCCTAGATTTTCCTTACACTTAATGAGGGTACCAGATTTTGGTGCTGGTCACCAGTAGGTGGTTGTAATTTGATAATCTGGTGTGATAAGTGGATTTGGATAACTCCAGGTGGGTAGCTTAGGAAGGAAGGTTCAAAGAAACCCCACCAGAAAGAGACATTTCATTACATTCATGCTGGAAGTTTTACATTTCTAGTGAGAAAAAGAATAGTATTTTCATATTTAGCACTAGCAGTATCCGGCCACAGCAACCTTCCCTGTCCCCCAGTCCTCTCCACCATTCCCCCCTCACCTGTCTCCTCGGCCTCCCAACCATTCCCCACTCCACCGTCCCCTCGTCATCCCCACCATTCCCCACTCCACCGTCCCCTCGTCATCCCCACCATTCCCCACTCCCTCGTCCAATGCCTTCCCAAATGGTCTGATGTTCCCATCAGAAAATTGGGAACATCAAGTGATCTGATGTTCCCATCACTGAAATATAAGAAAAAGTTAAAAATAAAATTCAAATATGAAAAAAAAATAAAAAAGTAAACTACTCACGAAATGAACGGTATGGTAAACAACACAGCTCAATTCCAACGCAATTCACACAAAGTAATTAAATCAAAATGAAAATAAATCGAAATCTATGAAAATTCAATATCAATGCAATCAGAAACATTGAAATGGAGTTGCAACATATTTAGTATAGCATGTGTTTTGCTCTAAAATGCAACAGATGGCGCTGTTTTTCAAGAAAAGCATAGTTTTACCTGTCACAGGTGTGGCATATATACATATACTTACAAAATGAACGGCATGGTAAACAACACATCTCAATTCCAACACAATCTCACACAAAATAATTCAATAAAAATAAAATAAATGAAAATCTGAAAATAAAATTTATCAATGCAATCGGAAATATTGAAATGGAATTCGTGACATATTTAGTATAGTGTGCATGTTGCTATTATGTGCAACAGATGGCGCTGTTTTTCAAAAACCCATGTTTTTATCTGTCAAAGGGGAGGCATCTATATAGTAGATATATAAAAAGACACGCCTATTCAAATGCAACATTGTGTCAAAATTTCAAAGCAATCGGTGAAGAACTTTCGGAGATTACAGCGTGCGTTGCTCTTACGTCCAACAGATGGCGCTGTTTTTTAAGAAAAGCATGTTTTTTTCCTCTCACAGGTGAGGCATGTATATAGTAGGTATATAAAAACACGTGCCTATTCGAAAGCAACGTTATGTCAAAATTTTAAAGCAATCGGTAAAGAGGTTTCGAAGATTTCCCTCACATGAAAAAATATGAGTTTTTCAAAAAAGCATGTTTGTTTTTTTCCATCACAGACATGACATCTATATAATATATATATAAAAACCTGCTTGGATGCGAATGTAACGTTGTGTGAAAATTTCAAAGCAATCGGCGAAGAACTTTCGGAGATTAATAATTTTGAACAAACTAACATTTACATTTTTATCTATATAGATTAATCATTATAGCAACCATAAAGATAAAGGAAATTTTAGTAATTGTTCCTTACGGACACATGTATAGGTCTACTGCATCAGGGAACATTTTCCTCTTGCCACCAAATAGCTGCAGCTACCAGGCCCAAACTTATGTTCTGAAGACCAGGTGTTTGGACCAATGTTCCAGGATGTTGAAATTATTTGTGGGAGGGATCCCTTAGTAGCTCCCATACCCAACCTTGCCTTCTTGAAACCAATATCAGATTCTGGCTTGTTCCACAAGGCTTGGGGAGCTGCTGGGTCACACAAGAAATGTGTGTGTGCATTATTTATTTTATTTATTTACTTTATTTATGTATTGTAGGGTGCATGCTGGTGTAAATTTGCACTTGGTCATTCATTGTAACACCATATGATTACAGTTAAACCACAGTAAAAGTTTTTAAATCAAAATTAATATTCAGTAATAATTATAGAGTACTGTACTACTGTACTGTATTTATAATAACAATAATATTTTATTTATGCAATATACAATGGACATAAAACATTTGATGTGTAGTAGATAAAGTAAAGGTATAATAAGTAAAGCAAATAATTATGCATAGCATTTTAAGCTTAACTTAAAATTATTTAGCAGAGTTAATAGCAGGAAAAATGAAAAATCCGAAATGTTTATTTTTAAATTAAATTTGTGATATGAGTTTCACTGGGTTCTAGAATTCTAATTTTTCTTGCACAAATTAAAATTTTGGAGTGATTTGGGTAAGCAAATTTGGTCTGTTACTTAGAAGAATCTGCTACTGTATTTGGAGGGTCCACTATATGTGTACTCACCTAATTGTGCTTGCGGGGGTTGAGCTCTGGCTCTTTGGTCCCGCCTCTCAACCGTCAATCAACTGGTGTACAGATTCCTGAGCCTATTGGGCTCTATCATATCTACATTTGAAACTGTGTATGGAGTCAGCCTCCACCACATCACTTCCTAATGCATTCCATTTACTAACTACTCTGACACTGAAAAAGTTCTTTCTAACGTCTCTGTGGCTCATTTGGGTACTCAGCTTCCACCTGTGTCCCCTTGTTCGCGTCCCACCAGTGTTGAATAGTTCATCCTTGTTTACCCGGTCGATTCCCCTGAAGA